CCACGATACACGAATACAAAGTAGCGTCATGAAATCACAGCATCGGTTGGCAAGCAAAGAAGCCCAGCCATGCGATGAACAGCGCCATGGCGGCGCCTTTGGCGTGTGCTAGCCCTGCCCCCATCTGGCCATCAAGCACCACGATCTAGCTTAGAACAGCATCGTAGCACACGCGTAGCAAAGTTAGCAATAACTCTCGTGCTCTCTAAACTTCTAGCGTACACCGGGCCTGTAGCGTCGGTCTACCTCGGAGGATTCCATGGCAAGCCCAACCGTGCAGCGGGCAGTTACGATTGAAATTTCGTCCGGCTCAGCCCCCCGCGACCTACGACTTTCCTAACGGTGCCCCGGCTCGACCGAAAGCAAACAGAGCCCGTCGCACCACTAATACGCGGACTAGCGGGTGCCAAACGCACAGCTGGGCCACACCACTCCGTCGCGTCGAGGCTAGATTTCCCAGAGAGGAGCGATGGGCCAGAGACCCGAGAGCGAGGGCGGGCCGGGAAAAAGAGAGAGGAAAATCGTGTGGAACGGCGACAGTGTGCATGATCGGTAATTCTCTTTTTTTCTCTTTCCAAAGCCCCCCATTCCGCCCCCGGTCCCGCCAGACTTCATTGGACTTGGGCCACTAGGGGCGTAAGCCCGTTCGACATCGTCGATATACCATTGTCTAACTATTCAACGAAAACAGCTGCCTACCCGTAACCCCAAAAACCAAAGGGCCGAGTCCATGAACCTCTCTACTCTCTTCTCTGTTTGTATACCCTAGTGGTCGCCCAGGCAATGAATCTCCTGTGTGCCCCTTATGCAGCCTTGTACCCAAATTCCGACAAACGCCGCTGAACAATGCCAATCAATGCTTCGTGTTACTCATCTCATGTGCTTCTTTTGGTGTCTTGTTGTCTCTTTCTCCATAACACCCAACGGGGGCCAACGGGATCTACGAATACCCTCTAGCAAGCAGCATTCCACATCTCATGTGCGAGTATCGCGCCAATGACCGACGCGCCATGCAATCCGGACATCGGTGTCCGGTCACCCCAAATTTGGAGCGCAAAGTGACATGCCACCGCCAGCTCTCCTATCCCGAGCGACGTGTTGATAATGGACGCCAAGCTGGGCGTGCTCTCGTTGCGCATGTCCCTGATTGCGTCGCTGGTGAGGTGAATGGCAATGGCCATGCTCAGGAGCATGGCGCCAAACATTACGTCCCGGCTGTACGGGTATGACGCAGATGTCGCGTGGAGCCACGCGCCGAGGAGGATCGCCAAGGTGAAAACGTCCAGTAAGCGGTTGTTACGCAGACCAGCCGTTCGTGCCGAAGGTCCGGGGTTCGCAAGCTCGGCGTGCTTATTTCCTGTTTCCGTCTTCGTTGCCGTTGCCGTCTCTCCCTCTTCATCATCATCGTCTAGGCTCAGCGTAAAACTCGAATTGAGCAGATCGGCCAAGGAGCTGCGTGGATCACTGGGGTTCGACATTGCCGAGGGCGCGAAGAACGTGGGTTGCGCGAATGCCACTTTGCCCGTGTCGCCGCTCGCGTCCTCGCCCCGCGACTTGGACGCATCCGTCCTGCCGGTTGTGAAAATTGACTTTTTCTCCACCGGTTTCGTCAATATCTTGGGACCGTTGCGAAGCTTATGCGCCGGTGTTATCGGCGCGGGAGGAACCTTGTACCAGAACGGGCTCGAGTTTGGACCTGAATCAGGTTGCCCGAATACCTGGTTCGGTGCCTTCGGAGGTCCAAAGTCGTTAAAGGCCCGGTATTTGGATTGAGTCGGGGACCAGTCCATTTCCTCCGAATACTGGGGCTGAGGCAGCTTTTGCGGAGTGCTGATGCTAACATTTCGGTTACTCGATCTGTGCTGCAATTCACGCTGGAACAGTGCTGGTGATGCTGAGCCAACGCTCGTTGGACTTGGAGGAATGCCGGGTCTCGGGCTGGACTCGGCCAGAATGTCGTCTAAGAGGTTCGCCATATTCTTGTTGTCGTCCTCTCGAGCTTGCGCCGTTTGCGGTCTCGGTGGTGACGCAGCTGGTGTTCCGGTGTTCTGGAATAGTGGTGTCATGTCGACACGTACGGATCGTTGGGCAAGTATGTATATCTGGAGCATCGAGTCAGCAACGCCTTGAAGAGAACGTGATTCGTGTCACTAACAGCCAGCATCAATGCAGCCATCAGTCCATGGAGGCTAATCTGAGCACTTCCTTCAGCTGATCGCCCGCTTTGCATTTCGGTCATTCTCATGGCAAGAAATCGCGTAAAGATGATGAGCCCTTGAAAGGTGTACCAGTGTGACAAGCCTAGGATATGGCGAGAGAAACCACGAAAGACCTGAACGAATTTGGGGTTCCACCAGATGCTCACAGCATTGGCCCATAGACTCCAGTGTATCAGCCTCTCAGGCCGAGGAAGGAGCAGTGAGAGAGCAAGTGAAAACCTCTGGACCATTGTGCTTTCGGCACCCGCGTCCGGGTCTCGCAATGGTCCTTCATCATATTGCGTCGCAAAGACCACAGCCAAGGATGCGACATGCCACAGGTATTGACAAGAAATGCCACCAAACCAGAGCCACTTTCCCACCTTGGCCGCAATATCTAGCGAGGTCAATTGCTTTGGAGCGACCCTGACTTTCCTGCTCCTATCCATCATGCGTCGTAAGTGGTCGGTCCGTGCCGTGTAGCCGGCTTGATCTAGCTGAGCTTGGACTTTGGGCTCGCACTGGGCGCATATCTGAGGGTATCGCTGTTCGAGTCGTCGACGGAACTTGTACATATTCCTCTCGAGTTCGGCATAGTCGGGGTGATCTGGGTCTTCGGGCAAGTATTGTGCCAGGGAGCTCGTAAACAGGTGCTGGTTCTTGAGACATGTCGGGCAGAAGATGCTCTGTGATGGGGTGCAGAAGTCGGGGGACTGAGACCGCGGTATCGCGTACGTCGTCGCAGCAGGCGCTGAGGTTGTTTTGGCTACTGGAGGGTCGGTGATGTCTCCGCGCTGGGTTATTGTTGGATGAAATCGCGACTCGCAATGCGCCGTGGGTTGATTTACTTACCTCGTCCAAATAGTTTGTCGCGTCGCATTTTAGGCAGAGAAACTCTCGAATCAGGCCATCGTATCTTGTTGATGAGCGCTTGCCGCAGTAAAAGCAGGTCAGTAGCCTGCCACTTCTCAAGTTTGCCATGGCGCTTTGAGGTTCGAGGTTCCTCGGGCCACACAAAGCATTTATGCAGGTTGACGGTATGTCTTTCGTCGATATTGTTGTAGCCCAGAACTTTCGAGATTCTGCCGGGCGGTCTGCACATGTTCCTGGGAGAAAGCAGGGGAAGTCACAGGGGTCTTCAAGTCCCAGCAGGAACATGAGGTCATCCGCTTTTTCTGTCAGGAACCTCCTAGTGGGTTACCTACACTAAGGTACCTTCTGAAGCCCGGCACAAGGCGGATGCTCAGAGCAGCGCTGCTCCAATTGGATCACTCAGGATCCCCACAATTCTCTAGTGATAGCTTCGGAAGTCACTGCCAGCAGTGCACTTACATCCCCGGGCCACTTGAAGGCCATTCACCTCACGTTCGAAGGGCTTTGATACCTCTTTCATGAAGAACCTAAGAGGTAGGAATACCACTTTCTCTGTCGTTATTTCAGCCGAGTAGTCGTTGAAGACTGACCTTTCAAGCGTTCACTCACAAGGCGCCAAGCTGTGCGTAATTTTCTGTCTTTTTTTCCACAACACATTGCTAATATGAACGTTTAGAAAGGTTGAATAATTGCAATAACACCATGAACTAATGGGAATTGGCATTGGAACAACATTAAAGATCACATTACAAGACGACCATATGGCGGCTGCATCTACTTTGATCGGAATTGCTTCTGCTTTCTGTGCCCTCGGCTTAGGCCTCATTCTCAAGTCCTCATGGAGGGCCTTACTCTTAACCCTGGTTCTGGGGGTCATCTCTAGCGGTGTCTTTCTCACGGTAACTAAACCACCTGTCTTCTTGAAAGCCCAATCAATACTGACATTGTGTAGGCCCGACACCTCCAAATTCAGCAGTCTCGCTTGAAGCGACCAATTCATTTGGCTGATATCGCTGTGAAGAAGTCCACCAGTCCCAGTTTGCTCAAAGGAGCCTACTTCCTCATTGTCTTGGGCTCAGGTGGGCACACCAAGGAAATGCTAGCTATGATGGAAATCAGCTTTCCCAACGTCCCCGACATGCACCGACGCTATCTCATCTCTAGCGGTGACTCAATGTCACTCATACACCTGGATGCCTTTGAAGACGAGCTTAGAACAATCCACGGCGAGGGGCAGGTAGGAACCTTTGACAAGCACATCGTTGCGAGAGCTAGAAAGATTCACCAGAGTCTACTGACAACACCCTTTACCGCCCTGATGTCGGTGGCTCAAATCTTTCCCTTGCTGCTATCCTCTCCTTTCAAGGGCCCCAGAAATCGCCAGCAGTTTCCCGACATCATCCTCACCAATGGCCCTGCCACTGGCTTCATTGTCGGTCTGGTAGCGTACCTCCTCAAGACGCTATACATTGTTCCAGAGGACGCCATGCAGGTCATCTACATTGAGTCGTGGGCCAGAATCCAGACCCTCAGTCTGACCGGGAAGCTGTTTCACTACACTGGCATTGCCGACATCTTGTTGGTTCAGCATGAGAAAGTAGCCAAGGCGTACGGCGTTACCAATGCAGGCTGCATGGTTGTGAGAAAGAAGACATGACAATTTGTCACATCTCAATCATGTCTGCCCTTGTTAGGAAAGGAGGTCGATGGATGCTTGGCATCGGAGATTGTATATTGCTATCAGCGCATGCCTCTCTTCATCAATACTAGACCATAAACTTAACGAACTCGAATGAAGCAAAATTCGACATGTTTTGATACCTGACGAGCCAACTGGCTTGGGGGCACTGATCTAAAAGCGTGAAAATCACTCCAGAACGGTCGTGACACTCTCGTCAACATCTCGTCAACATGGCCAGGCACAGAAATGAGCGCATCAAATGACTATTCGCAGTTGCAGCAACCTGGAATTGTGGTATTATACAGATCTTTGTAGTACATATACTTACAAGGCCCGGGGCCTCTCTGCTCAAACCGCCGCCTCGGCCTCGGCCTCGGCAGCAGCCTCATCCGTCGTCTCTTCACCAAAGTTGGCGTAACTGGCAGTGCGCGCCTGCTCAATCATGACAGCCCTGTTGCTCGCCCAGCCCTTCCAGACCTCGAATTCCTTGTCCTCCAGGTCCTGTGCGATTTGCAATCTGTTCTTGCCAAAATACGCTCCGACGTGCCTCGCCTCCTCCCTGGCGACGCGCTTCTCAATTTCCTCCTCCTGGCGCAGCGCGTAGAACTCCTTTCTTGCAATATCGTAGGCCTTTGCTCTCGGGTATTTCTTGTTGTGCATGAGCCAAAGCTGTCGCTGGACGACGCTGTCTGGTTGTTAGCTGTTGCTCCGAGGGGAGGGAGGAGCTGAACATTCGGGGTCAGCTTACCATTCACCGGTCAGAGGCGTTCTGTATTGGCGGACACCCTTGGACCAGTCGCATCTCTGGTAGTCCTTTCCATCTGTTTCCAAAATCATCCTCGGGCGCGCCAATTCCCAAGGGTGGTCTCTGAAGAACGTCTTCCGTAAGGAGTCCTCCTCGTGCACGATCTGTTGAGGTTTGTAGATGCCTTGAGGCTTGCGGTTCTTGCGATTGGAGTTCTGAGTGTTGACGATAGCTGGCCTCGTAATAATTTCAGAAGGAGGGATATCCCTCATGACCTGGAACCATGGTGGTTCATAGACGGGATACTGTGGGAGGATTTTCGAGTTGAGCTCCTGGCTCACGGTCTGGTAGATCCGCGCAGGCCTGATCTGTCGCCCCATATTGGTCTGTCAAGCTTGTCAGACGTCTGAACCGTTGCATCTTTTGGGCAATGAAGACTCACTATTGAGATCGAGGCGGGTATGGCACGACTGTTCGATCCTGTCTGGGGTGCCTTTGCAGGTGATGAGCTCCATCCGTCGCGAACTGCAACTCAGAAATTTGGAGCGTCGGCCAATCCTAACGCCGGCACCGGCTTTCGCGGTCGGCCCCACTCTACCCATGCACTTCACCAGCGAAATAATATTCCCATCCCAATCATCCCGGAGCTTTTAGTAACACAGCTGGCAGCTCACCAACGACTCCAAAACGCCAATTTCTCCCACCTACTCGCCAGCGAGCGCGTGCTCTTCGATGGAACGGTGATGCCCTGGCCGCAATGCCCGACAACCCATGAAAGTACTTAGCCGGATAGACGGGTCCGTATGCGGTGCCATTCTCTCGACTCGACCCTGCGCAGCTCGAGCTGCAGTTTCTTCCCGGCCAGAGCTCCGAACCGAGAGACCTTCGAGGGCGCCGGCGTCCCAGCACCACAGGGACCGCACACGATGCTCTCGACCACCGGCTACTCAGTGTCCTCGGACAGCTTCATGGCTGCTGTCGACCTTTTTGCCGGCGCCCTTCTCTGTTCGCCCTCGTACCCCGACAAGCTCAAACTCGGCCATCCGCGGACGAACTCAATCATATAGCCACGTTGCCGCCTCCGTCATTACCTCAGCTAGTCGATCACATCATGTAGTCATGCGGAAGGACAAGGACGTCCTACTCGGCTTCGTGGAACATGAGGATGTTGGAACAGTGGATGAACACCTGGAACTCGCCCGGGATCCCTACCTAAACAGATACGCTCAACCAGAGCCCACTCCGCTCACGATATCGGAGAGGAAAGAGGACCAGCAGTATCCCTCATACCACGAAGCATTACGCGGCGACGAAGACATAGGACAGTTGGTCACCAAGCTTGGCACTGCTGTGAGCACCAAGATGAGATATCCAGCGAGGGTTGATTTAGATACCATACACAGCCTATACGCGGCGCTACCGGAACCTCGGATGATTCATATGCCAGCAAAGCTGCGCCATCGCTTGCTCAAGATATTCGGCACCCCGATCAAGAAGGAGACGCAGACGATGCTTCGGTACTTCTCGCTCATCGGCGACGCGAAGGATTGCGGGATTGCTCTGCGACAAAGCGAATGGAACCATGCCCTGGCCTTGGCAAGCAGATACGTCGGCAGAGTTACGGACACCGAAGCCGAGGCTGCTCTCCAGTTGTGGAAGGAGATGGAAAAGCTGTCTGGGGTGAAGGGGAACGCTGTCACTTTCAATATCCTTTTCGATGCGGCGTCCAAGGCTGGAAACTTTGCACTGGCCGAGATGCTCTACGAGGAGATGAAGAAGCGCGGATATAGCTTCAACCGCTTCCACCACGTCAGTCTGATTCACTTCTTTGGGCTCCGCGAAGATCCCGACGGCGTCCGGGCTGCATACAAGGAATTGGTGGAGGCGGGGGAGATGGTCGATACCGTGGTCCTCAACTGCGTCATCTCTAGCTTCTTGAGATGTGGAGACGAGGATGCGGCGCTGAAGGTTTACGGCTATATGAAGGACAGCTACTCGGCGGCTGCCAAAATACCTCAGATGGACCCTTTGATGGATAAGGCCGTCATCCATATTCACTCCATGTTTGCACGCGTCGGCCAAAAGATACCAGAGCTTCGCCCACAGCTACAAGAGCTCGCGCATGAGACTCCGGATATGCGAACATACCGCATCCTGATTAAGCATTTCGCCATAACGAAGGGAAACCTGAGCAAGACTGCTCAGTTTCTGGACGAGATGCCACAATTCGAAGTGCCGGTTCACGGCAGCATCTTCCTTGCCATTTTCGAAGGGTTCAGCAAGTATGGCGCATCTCCGTTTTCTCCTTGGACAGGTGACCGGCTTGAAAATGTCTTGGCGGCGCTATTTGAGGCGATTGACAATAAAGTCCAGGGTCTACGACTTGATACCTGGCTCATGATTTGGGCGCTTCGGGCCTTCATGAAATGTACAAATAACGAAAAGGTATTGGAGGTGTACGAAGATTTCAAGAAGAGGTGGGAACTTGCGCCGGATAGGGCGGACTTTATGGATCACTATCTTGCCAGACTTATGGACGGAAAGGATGCATTCATCTTCCAGCGTGGGTCCGGGCAGCACAAGAAGAAGCACAAGGCGGTCAGGAAACGGCCTATGTAAAACAACCTATACTATAGACAAAGATACCAGTAATTTCAATTACCTGTCCATACCTCATCGTCGAAACCTTATTCCATCGCCCAGTTGTTTGTAATTGACACGATAGTTGGGCCATTCTTTCCCTTTCTTCACCCTGCCAACCGTACCCACCGGACCTTCATTCAATAGCCCATTTATCGTATAAATATACATACAAATCCGTTAGAATACCCCTCAATTCCACTCGGGTCACCAGCAACAGGAGGCGCTTCTCTAGTTCGTGGGGCCAGGACAAATTGGCTGGATGGTGGAATGCTCAACGAGTAGCGTTCAATTACCCCTTGAGCCTAATCGACAGGTTCCGAGTTTGATTTCGCATACGATCCCGGCATGAGCAACACAATAGCAAACAGAGATGTAGCCTGCCGAGGCGACCCTTTTTTAACCCTTTGATCTTCGAGACCTTCCAGTGTGCCGCAAAATGTGGCCAGCTGCCACTAGAGGAGGGAACTGCGATTTCCATTTCCATTCACCTGTCACGTATTACAGCACGGATACACCCTGAAATCTGGTTTAGCTCCATGGTCTGCAATCCAAATTCATCACACGAAAAGACGTGAAGGGCTGATCGTGATTTCGGTTTCCCTGCTGATCCGTTGAGGACTAAAAGTCTCTATTTCGGCTTGTGTACACAGTCGTCCACCGTCTCAACCCAATCCATGCTCTACAATGGCGATCGACTCAAGAAAAATTGTGTAAAGAAGGCCCTTAAACCTTGGGCTTCTTGGTTTGCCAAACTGTATATCTCGTCAGTACTTGATATCGGCGGATTTCGGAGCCACAGTAAAAAGCACGCACCAGCGATGCCGAAGGGGGCGAAGAAGCCGACGAAGGAGTAAGTCCAGAAGCCAAGGCCGAAGAACTTGCTCTTGGGGTTGAAGGGAATGTTGGTGTAGGGTCCCTCGGGGTAGTGGTACGGCGAGGACATCTGGGCGCGGGTGGTCTGGAAGCCGCGGCGGGCGACCATGGAAGGGGTCTTGGGGACCGCGCGAGCGGCGGCACGGGCGAACATCTTCGGAGGACGGGTCAGCATCAATTGGACTTTTGGGGATATTCGGGAGGTCGTAGTTACTTTGGCGGTGTGTTATGAGGCGATCGCGAGGCGCAATGGGGGTATGAAGAGGTGCGGTTGTGGTGTTGAAGTCATCCAAAAGAGTGGTCTGAGACTGTGCAACCGGCTAAGCTCCAAAGATCTCCAAGTCTGTTCTTGGTTATGTAATCACACGTGACTATTCCCGAGCCTTAGGTAGCGGCGAACGGTCCAGTCCCGCGACTGGGATTTCGAAGCTACGACAGTCGGCCACCGCCTTCCATATCTGGACGAATCTCAACCGCCGTCATGCATGCATTTTGGAATATTTTTTCTGCCTCTTCCATGTTGCTTGCCTTGGCCGACCCACCAACTTTTTCGCCCGAGCACCTGCGAATTGCGACCGAACGCACACTGCCGGGACCAGACAAAATTGAGGAGTTGCCTCTTGTCAACACACCCAAAGAACCGACAGACGCATCGCTGCACTTCCAGCGTTTCGCGTCTTTGCAGTTCGACAGCTTGCAACGGTTTAGCTTTGTTTGCTTGCCATTGGACCACCAACAAACCTTGAGTCCCTGACGCCATACATAAGTCTAACTAGGCGCCGACCCCAAGTTCCAGCTTGGCAACAAGCAAACGCCCACCATGGACGAGCTTTTCGATGTTTTCGACGCTCAACCTGACGCGCAAAACGAGTCACACAGCGAGCCCGAACCTGAGACTGAGGTTGCCGAGCCCCCTCAGAAGTCGCGCAAGAAGGACAAAAAGAGCAAGAAGCGCAAGGCCGATGGCGGAATGAAGAATGGCGTCGCCGACAAGCCAGAGGACGACGACATGCCCGACGCCGATGAGACCTCCAAGGATGGCCAGGACGCTGATGAGGCAGAGGATGCTGCCGCTTCATCCGACGAACAGCAGGAGCCCCACAAAGACAAGCGGAGGAAGAAGGAAGACGAGGCCCAGCCTGTCTTGACCGACACCTTCCAGACTGCTCAGTCCCGAGAGGTTGCTGGTGCTGCTGTCTTCACTCCAGCCCAGGACGAATCGCTCGTTCTGTCCCACAACATCCAGCACCAAGTCGCCCTGCCGCCTGACCTGGACTACGAATACATCCCCCTCTCCGAGCATAAGCCGCCCGCGGAGCCAGCACGCCAGTACAGCTTTAAGTTAGATCCCTTCCAGGCGCTGTCTGTCGCTTCGATTGAGAGGGAGGAGAGTGTGTTAGTCTCCGCCCACACCTCTGCCGGAAAGACGGTCGTCGCCGAATACGCGATTGCGCAATGTCTGAAGCGCAATCAGAGAGTCATTTACACGAGTCCCATCAAGGCCCTCAGCAACCAGAAATACCGAGACTTCGAGGCACTATTTGGCGATGTCGGTCTGATGACTGGTGATGTCACGATCAATCCCACCGCCAGTTGCTTGGTCATGACGACCGAGATTTTGCGCTCCATGTTGTACCGTGGTTCCGAGATCATGCGCGAGGTTGCTTGGGTCGTCTTTGACGAAATTCACTACATGAGAGACAAGACTAGAGGTGTCGTTTGGGAAGAGACCATCATTCTTCTTCCTGATAAGGTCCGCTACGTCTTCCTGTCCGCCACCATTCCCAACGCCTTCCAGTTTGCGGAATGGATTGCCAAGATTCACCACCAGGCATGTCACGTCGTCTACACCGATTTCCGTCCGACGCCCCTTCAAAACTATTTCTTCCCTGCCGGTGGTAACGGTATCTTCCTTGTTGTCGACGAGAAGGGCGTGTTCAGAGAAGGCAACTTCCAGAAGACCATGTCCCTCATCGAGGCGGGCAAGGGTCAAGACCCCAACAACGCAAACGCAAGTTGGAAGGGCAAGGGAGCCAAGAAGCAGACGCAAAAGGGTGGACAGGCGTCCGACATGAAGTCTGATATTTCCAAGATTATTCGCATGATCATGCAGAAGAGCTTCCACCCTGTCATTGTTTTCAACTTTAGCAAAAAGGAGGTTGAGAACCTGGCTCTGCAGATCTCTCACTTCCAGTTCAACAACGACTCGGAGCAGGCCATGGTTAAGACCGTGTTTAACAACGCCATCCAGAGCTTATCTGAGGCTGATCGCGAGCTTCCCCAGATCCAGAACCTGCTTCCCCTGTTGCAAAAGGGTATCGGTGTGCATCACTCTGGTCTTCTCCCCATTCTGAAGGAGACCATCGAGATTCTGTTCCAAGAGTCTCTGATCAAGGTGCTTGTCGCAACAGAGACCTTCTCCATTGGTCTCAACATGCCCGCCAAGACCGTCGTCTTCACCCAGACCAACAAGTGGGATGGAGTTCAACGGAGACCTCTTACCCCGTCCGAGTACATTCAGATGTCTGGTCGTGCTGGTCGTAGAGGTTTGGATACGCGTGGTATTGTCATCATGATGATTGACGACAAGATGGAGCCTGATACTGCCCGCGGCATGGTCGTGGGTGAGCAGGATCGTCTTAATTCCGCCTTCTACCTCGGCTACAACATGATCCTCAACCTCTTGAGAATCGAGGCTATTTCCCCCGAGTTCATGCTTGAGCGTTGCTTCCATCAGTTCCAGACAGGTGCTAGTGTCCCAGCTTTGGAACGTGACTTGGTCGCTCTCCAGCAAGAGAGGGACAGCATGTCCATCGCTGATGAGGCTACAGTCAAGGACTACTACAACCTCCGCAACCAGTTGGAACAGTACACTAGCGACATGCGCGCTGTCATTCAGCACCCTGAGCACTGCACCGACTTCATGCAGCCCGGCCGTCTGGTTCGCATTCACGACCCCAAGAAGACCAACAACACTATTGGCGGCACCGACTTCGGCTGGGGTGTCGTGGCGAACCTGATCCGCCGCGACCGCAACCGCAAGCAAGGCGAGCCAGAGTACCCTCCTCAGGAATCCTGCCTCATCGACGTCATGATGGTTGTAGACCAGAAGAGCGCACCTGTTGCCGAAGGCTCCAGGCATTTGACCTCTGATCTGCCAAAGGGCCTGGTCCCCTACCCGAACCCCGAACAGCCGGACAACGGAGCTCGCTTTGAGATTATCCCTTGTCTTCTGACCTGCGTCAAGTCCATCAGCCAGATCAGAGTTTTCATGCCCAAGGACTGCAAATCCCAGTCCGCGCTTAACGAGGTCGGCAACTCTCTTCGGGAGGTTCACAGACGCTTCCCTGATGGACTGCCCATCTTGGACCCTGTTGAGAACATGGGCATCAACGACGATTCTTTCAAAGCCCTGATGAGGAAGATTGAGATGTTGGAGGCGCGCCTCCTCACCAACCCTCTTCACGGATCACCACTGCTGCCAGAGCTCTACCTTCAGTATCGCTCCAAGGAGAAACTCGGCGAGCAGATCAAGTCCAAGAAGAAGGAGATTGCAAGACTCCACAGCATTGCGCAGATGGATGAGCTCAAGGCGCGCAAGCGTGTCCTGCGCCGTCTTGGATTCCTTAACGAGTCTGAGGTTGTCGAGCTCAAGGCTCGTGTCGCCTGCGAGATCTCATCCACCGAAGGTCACGAACTTGTTCTCGCCGAGCTTCTCTTTGATCGCTTCTTCAACGAGCTCTCCCCCGAGCTCATTGCCGCTACACTCAGCTGTTTCGTCCTGGACGAGAAGCTTGAGACGGCAGCTTTGCGTGAGGAATTGGCCAAGCCCTACCGGGAGGTTCAGGCCAAGGCTAAGCAGGTCGCCAAGGTCAGCCGTGAGAGCAAGCTTGAGCTCAACGAGGAGGAGTACCTGGCTGGTTTCAAGTGGCAATTGATGGAGACTGTTTACTCGTGGGCACAAGGCAAGCCGTTTGCAGATATCTGGTACGTTGCCTCCAATTCCTTCGTTCTATTTTCCGTTTACTGACACGTTACAGTAAAATGACCAATGCCTACGAAGGTTCTCTTATCCGCCTCTTCCGCCGTCTGGAAGAGCTTCTGCGCCAGATGGGCCAGGGCGCCAAGGTCATGGGCAGCGACGAGCTTACACAAAAGTTTGAGGACAGTCTCGCCAAGATCCGCCGTGACATCGTCGCAGCCCAGAGTTTGTACCTGTAAAACTCTAAAAAGGTTTGTCTTCAGATGCTGGCAATATTGTCTTGCTAGCAATTATCGGATAGCCCTTCTGCTTCCTCTCTTCTAGCCCGTTGTACTTTTTGCTTTTCTTAGGTAGCCCCAGGGGACATCATGGCGTTTGATGGTTATTCGAGGTTTTATACCATGCATGTAGAATCTTTGTGTGCGCGGATTCGGAGTTTCGGCTCTCAAAAAGTCGCTTTTTCCATGGCCACCAATGAAGCAATAATGGCCCTCTTTTGTTCGCTGTCTCTATCTATGTGATTCATGCTGCGCTCCCCTAGCCATCCTTGCCTGATGCTTGGTTTAATTACAAGAAAAACACCATAGCCTATATTAGGTATGGTCAATAAGCATCCACGTTATTCTGACGCCAAAACCCCGTAGCAGAAACAAACGCAACTGCTCTACTAATCGCCCGAGAAAGCCATCGTGTCGACACTAAATCATGCAACACCATGCCACACCTAACGTAACGTAATCATACCAACCGCCTGGAAACGTATCTCCTCCCCAAGAGAAGTCCACAAGCACTTGAAAACCAATACGGCCTCGCCCTATCGGTCGCCCGAGAAGGCCCTGATGACGCCAATAATGATACTCAAAGTCACGCCGAACCCGATAAAGTCATGCCGCCGTCCAGAGAGCATATTCTCCTCCCGCGAGAGCCACCCCAGGCATCCCAGCGGCCAGAAGAAGCCCACAATAAGACCCTCGATGAGGACGTCGAGTATACCGCTCATGACCCCAAACGCATCATCGCCACCGCCGCCACCCGGCCCCCCGTCGGCTCCGTCCCCTCCTGCGCCCGTCCCGCTGCCGGGTAACGCGCCGCCGGCATTGGTATCTATCCATGTGTCCTCGAGCGAGCGCATCGTATCCGGGCTGGGCATAGTATCGGGGGTATACTGTGTCGCGCGGATGTCGCGGAACTGGAGGCGCAGCTGGTTTACTTCGGCCGCCGTGAAGCCTGCGTTGAGGAGCCTGTCGAAGCCCCTTGGCGTCGGGCGCTGCTGCTGCTGCTGGTTGGCATGGGAACCGTATGCGCCGCCGTCGTGACCGTGACCGTGACCGCCATGCTGCCCGTCTCCCATCCCGGAGGGCGTCGTCGCACCCCGCTCCGACGGCGCGCATAGAGCTGCCTCGGCTTCGGCGGCGAGTTCTTCGTCGGTGAGGCTGTCGCCGATGCTGCAGTTCACGTAAACCCTCTGCGGCAGCGCCGTCTCGTTGGCCTTGGCCTTGCCTTTGCCCTTGGGATCATCGAAGCCGCCGCTGCTTGCGCCGGGTGTGGACGGCGTCGACGTCGGGTTCGAGGATGATGGAGGCGGAGGAGGGGGCAGCGGGCGCAGGACGGAGCTGAGGGCGGATGCGTCCGGGAGGATCTTGCCCTGGTGAATGAAGCGGAGGCGGCGCTGGGAGTCGGGCTGGGCGAGGCGGCCGCGGATGAGGTGCTTGAGTGCGGCGACTGTTGTTTGGGAGGGGGAGGGGATGTCGAGGTCGAGGTCTGGGAGGGAGGTTGTGAAGCGGATGCGGAGGAGGAGGGGAGGTGTCCAGGGGCGCGGGGTTGTCATCTCGGCGGCATTGTTTTGTGTCGAGGGGAATTGGGCGAGCTCGAGGGAGATGTGGGCGCCAAGGCAGATGTGAATTGAGGTTCGGCGATTTTGAAGCTTGGGGAAGCTTGAGGGAGACCCTGACTGGTTCTAATTGAAGCTGCCTGGGATGATATGCTGCATGACGCTTATCGTTATCGTACTCCGATTTTGGCATATTAGAAGGAGAATCAATTAATCGACATAAGCATGATATGCATCTGACCAAGAGAAAGGGCTTAGGCCAACTAATTTAACGTCAACGGATGAATTTTCACTAAACCAAGGAAAAAAAGACATTTCTCATCATATTTAGAGAGACAGCTGCATATCTAAGTCAAGATGGAAAAAGAAGTGATCAGTGGGAGGCTTGAACTCCCGGCCTTGGCATTACACAACATTTCAGGTGAAATATTAGTACCACGCTCTAACCAACTGAGCTAACCGACCAGTTGTGATTGTTGATAATTATGGGATCCTGTCTGCCCTTCAAGTGTGCATAAGGAGCCCTGAATCATGCCCGACCCCGCGATGGCCCCTCAGGAACTCATCGCAACCCCTCCTTGTACGGGTAGAGCCACAGAAATGAGCTTCAGAAATCCCTGACTCACCCGAGCCGCCCTACATGGAAAAGCTTTCTGTGATTGGAAATCAGAGGGTGACGACAATTTTCTGTAATACGGCTCACGCCGTCCTAATTTCAGTTGTCCGATGTCATCCCGCTTTGAGAAGCTTTGTCGCGAAGTGCTCTAAACTCAGAGCTGCCCACATGAGCCGGCATTACCCCTCAGAATGCTTCATATTGGACGACGCTGCCAACGTCCCAACTGCGCAGAGAAGAGAACTTGGTCAAACGTTCACTCAGATAACACGTTAGTCATAAGACGTCCGGTATACTTGACGTTTGATGTGCACTCCTCTCTGCTCATGGTAATTCTACATCATCAACGCCTCTTTAACTGCCCTGATCTCCAGTGCCTTGCACCAACTCTCAGAGTGGACGCGTATCTCTCGCAACGAGTCAGATAGCTAGTAGCAATTTAGTGCCACTCCAAATTAAGTTGCGTAATTCTTGAAAACAAGGTAGGGCAACAGCTCAACTCTAATCTTTTGGCTTTTGTCTGAGGTGAGTAGTCAAACATCAAGTCAACCCAAGATTGGCAGTCGCCAGAATGAGCATCCAATACTTGGGGATCGGGGTGTTTCCCCCCGGCCCAAACCTTCAACTAGCGAACCAGCCATCCCAGCGAACTCTATCTAAGAGACCCAAATGTTGGCGATGATCAAAAAGTCGGAGTCAGGCTCCAAGAACGGGGTTTAGTCAGCCGACGATTTGCTACCATCACTCGACAACTGGGCCCCTCACATCCCCGGCCTCCCCATCCGTCCCCCGGGTTCCTGTCCTGCAGTTCCATGTCACGCCCCATCTTCCAAATCCACTATTCAATACTGCTAGCACCGTCACCTTACTGTGTTCTTTGTTAGCTCATATTCGACCTGTCGAGACATCTTCACCATCTGCCCACAGTCTCTGGCCAAAATGCCGCGCAGACGAGATCCCTCCAAGCAGGTATCTAGACGGAGCCACCGCGGCTGTCATCGCTGCCGTCTACACAAGATCCGGTGCGACGAGGCGAAACCTCACTGTGGGCCATGTACTTCCCGTGGCTACGCCGACTGCGTCTACGCCCAAGTCCTGAAATGGGAAACGGACTACGTTGGCCGCGCCTTTGGGAGGGCCGGCGTGTGGTCGAAATCTGGGACCGGCGGCAATAACAAGAAGAAATCCGCGACGCCGCCTTCCACCCTGGACAACTACTGGTGTCTACCTACCCACGTTCACTCTTTTGGTTTCCTGAACTCCTTCATCACCGACTTTGAGAGGGAAGAGTCTTCGTCGTCCTCCAGTGATGACAGCTCCACGGATGATCGCAAATCGGCAGCTCTTACACTGAGAAAAAACTTGGGCTGTATCAATCGGCCGGTGAAATACGTTCAGCTCGACAGCCAGGCCGAATCGCATTTGTTATCTTACTACCTAGATCGGATCTGTCCCATGACAGTTCCATGCGCCAAAGGCGAATCCCCTTTTTCCGCGCTCATCTTCCCCTTTGCCGTCTCATCCGCCTCGCCAGCCCTCATGCACGCCCTCCTGGGCCTCGCCGCTTCACACAGAGCAAGATCAGACTGCACATATCAGCCGGTAGCTCTAAGCTACTCAGCCAAAGTCATCCGATCGCTGCGCCTGACGCTCGAAAACAAGTCGTCTATCGACATCGCAGCCAACTCGGAGATCCTCGTCCTGATGATGCTGCTCTGCCAGCTCGAAATTATTGCAGAGTGCGACAAGCGCTGGGTCACGCATCTGCGCGGGGCCCGAGACCTCATCAGGTTCAGACGCCAAGGCATGACTTCGGACGCCGCCAAGATGGCGACGCGGCAGCAGAGTCCCTGGGAGCGAATCATCAAGTTCACCGAGCGGTATTTTGCCTTTTACGATGTCATGGGACGAACCGCCTGCGGCGAGGAGCCCATCTTCGGTAATGACTTTTGGTCCGCGCAGGAGGACGAGGGGCTTGATCTCTGGATGGGCTGCTCACCGCAGCTGGTTAGTATCATTGGCGAGATTACGGAGCTCAGCTTCAAGTACCATCGCATGTCATCTTCGACGGCGGAGGACTGCTGGCAGGATCTCGAGCGCCAGCGGATAAGGTTGACTTGTCTGCTCCAACAGCCGCATCTGAAGAGCGATAGCGACGACGAAATCATCAGGAACACCGTCGAATTGAAGCGGTTGACGGTAGAGCTTTATCTTCACTCTGCTCTCAACGACTCGACTCCCGCAACGCCTGTAATTCGACAGAACGTGAAGAAGATCTTGCGTCTCGTCGCGATGTTGCTCGATGCGGATGTCAAAGCTGGACTCACGTGGCCGCTCTTCATGGCAGCCTGTCAACTCGATCCCACAGAGGAGCTTGAGTGGGCCGAGGCAGATGTCGAGGATAAGACACCCCCCCGCTACGCACGCCCTTTTGTCCTCTATGTTCTTGACAAGTTGGCAGATTCGCTCTCCAATGTCACTCGGACACGTTCCGTCATTGAAAAGGTCTGGAAACAACGCGAGGCGGCATCATTCCTGTCGTCGGATCGGCAATTATCCCCCAGTCCCAAGGCTTTCAATGACTGGGCTCGATTCGTGGCGCCATTCTGCCACAATATTAGTTTGGCTTGAGCTGGGTAGCTCGGGCCGTATTGCCTTTGAACCTGTAGGGCAGTCCTACCGCCCTCAGATCTCAGTCTCTGTGATGTATTATGCTTATGAGCAACGGCGACATGCGAGCGTTTGTATTTGGCGCGATGCGTTAATTAGTAGTATTATTTGTACCTGGCGTA